CCCTATTGAAAAATATAATTATTATATTGTGATAAAAAGTAAGGCTCTGAATTCAAGGTAATCCATATCTGATTTTAACTTATCATATATTCTATACAACTGGATTCTCAGGTAAATCACTCAATACTATATTTATTAGAGATACAAGTATTTTGCAAATGTATGATCTTTCATTAACCAGTTTTTCTTTCTTTGAATAAGCTTTACACTTGGTGATTTCCAGACTTTAAGCTTGTAAAGAATTATTAATTATTAGAAATTTAATCATTTCCTACGAAAAATAAAGAACTTACAATACTTCTAGTATCTGTCTAGATATTGTTTAAAGTATCTCAGGGTTATCTAGCTATCTTTTATATTCAACATTACTCAAATTATCATTCATATTAATCTTCGATTTTTTATTATAGATAAACTCTTTACAAACATCCATTATAATATCGTTCTGATCTAGTCTATATTTTTGAAAAAGTTTCTTAAAAATATCATAAAATCCAGACATCTTTGTAAAAGGTTCAGATTTAATATCAAGGCCTAGAACATACTGGATGGTCAAACCCAAAGCTTTTGACATTTACTTATTCTAATTCCATTTTGATTCTTTCCTACATAGTTTCTCATAATCGGTATTCTTATTTATAAGCTGACAATCATCACATTTTAAAAAACGCAAATTTGCATTAGCATTATCAGACTAAGTCTCCGCATGAATCATCAGAGCCTTTATTTCTGTAAGAAAACATAAATCTTTGAAGGTACTTGCAACCTAAATATAATTAACTTAGTTTAGATTTAACATATTTTGTTAATTAAAGTGAATAATAATTTGTGAGATCAGATTAGGTTTTCATTTTCATAAACTATCAAAAAATGCTGACAATATGCCTAATAACCAATATTTGGATACATATAACTAGCTATTGCTATGTAGAAAGTGATAATATCACAACAGATATAACCCATTCACTAGCATATAAACCCTTTAGAAAACCTAAAAAAAAATACATCATATCCATATATTTGACATAAATATAGCTTATCACCCTTACCTGTTTTGCTAATTTTTTTCCAGTATCAAAACTTTAAAGCTTCTTTTTTTGTTCAACATCCTCTAAGGGGATTTGTTCTAAAATTCTTTCTAGAACATTTTCAAAGTTCTCCACTTCTTTTTCAAGAACGCCTGTTCATTCACCTTACTTAAGAGGTACAAACAATGCTGTGGAAATTCTGACGATATTAAAAGGCTCTCTTATTAAAAGGAATTCTTCCATATTTTAATAGAATAAATATTAATGAAAAGCTTGTTGGAAGGAGAGAAAGGAGAATATGCAAGGCAGTTTACGCTAAAAGTTTGTATTCGAGAATAAGGGCATATGAAATGTGCATTGAAGATCTTGACATTTAGAATGATGTTGGGGATAATGCATATACAGACTTTTTTCGCTTACCTGACTGCTTAATAGTTAATACTAAAACCTGATAACATTATATAAATATATTCTACTTGGCATATAATAGAAATAGCTCATCCTTCTGAAGCAAATATAAATATTAGTAAATGTTATTTCGCTAAATGTTGTAAGGGAAAAAATTTGAAATATTTGCAGAGTATTACATATACACCTTCCTTCAAGCTATGTTTTTCAGGAATTCCTGAAAAAATTTATTTTTGAGTATCAGAAACACGTTTATTTTTTGTCATACATGCCTATAACATGTAGAACTTCAGAAGGGACCATCCCAAATAAGGAGAATGATTATACAATTCAAATTTTTTTATACATTTTACAGTATATTTTTGATGCTCTTTGCGCAATCTTTCTCTACCATAAAACGTAACAAATGCATTAAGCAAAATTTGAGTATTTGCACTACTCTACAATATATTTTTTTAATCCTCGTTAATCCTGCGCCTTTATATTGTTATTAGCTGTTAAAGATATGTCTGAGATGAAAAAATGTATAGAATGCTAAACTGTTGAGTTGGCTAAATTTCGTTTGTTAAAGGGAGAAAAATGAAAGAAAGTTGAGAATAATAATTTAGCAAAGGTAACATGGAATGAAGGTATTCTTTTATGTAACATATACTATATGCATTTTGTAAAAAATCCTTTGAAAAAAGGCCGTAAGAGAGTAAAAACCATGGATGAACAAGTTATAGGTGAAAATATTACGACCGAGGAGGTAAGTATGAAGGTTGACTTTATAGGAGCTATTAAGGTGATGGCAAAAATACTTTACGATAGAGAACATTCTAAGAAAGAAAAATCTATATATTCGTTCGACGAAATGCAAAGGATATTTCAAGAAATCGAACTGAGTTTGAAGGATTTTTCAATCAGCTCTATTTGGTGGCTCGACTACTTGAACGTAACGAACAAATGATAGACCATATGAAAAAATTGATGCTTTTTATATGTTATCTTCTAGCATCACTAAATAATACAAAAATTAACTCTTTTAAATTTGATCTTGGATTTTATTTAGATTCAGTAGATACGAGCAATGAAGGCCTGAATACAATAGCTAATCTTGGCGTGTCTACAATGTCGAGATCAATAGATCAAAAAAAAAATATCTGATGTGCATGGGGAATATGTAGAAAAGGCTCTTGCAAAACATTCAGAGAATTTATTTATTCTGAACATAGATGATTATCATAATATTTATGTTCAGAGATGACCCGATACTACCAGTACATCTTGGGCGGCGTATATGGCAACAATTATGGTGAATCTGTGTCCAATTCCTGCAATACTGCGAAGTGGAGTAATTAATCCAAAGATCGTTAATGCCAAATTGATCACTAGGTATCTTGAAGAACGATTCATCATAAACCTCAGAGTTTCATATTATGACCGCAGGCAGGATAGTGTAGGAGTAAATTCCCTTGATAATGAGGTTATTGATAGTTTGATGATTTACAGTTACAATGATAGACTAGTGGGAAAAGAGGGTGGTCAGCATATAAGAAACGCTATCCTCATCGATTTTATTAAAAATGGCTTGAAAGGTATAGGAGAATATACGAAAGCTCTTCAAATTGTATATGACCAAGAGCTGATGCAAGAGTATCTTTCCAATCACGCTATTCCTATTGTTGTAGATTGGCCTAGACAACTCTACATTCGTAAGGCTATTACGCAACACCTTCTCATCAATAATGAAACTATTCCTTATTTCATTGTATTCTTTTTGCTTATGATGGGTCCTCTCCATGTATCGCTAAATGATAATGAGCTCGTTTTTCTACAAAACTCTTTTTTTTCAACGACATTTACAAAGATATATTTGATGCAAACAAGGAACTTGGTAAAAAACCGCGATCTTGGAGAATTGACTTAATTCTTCATATCATGCGCATGGCGTGGCTTGATATATCGGAGGTTGTTTATTTGAAAATTGGACGTACGAGCAAAATATAGAGTTTTTATATTTAACAGATTTACTAAGTAACCTAGTTTTCTTGGTTCTTGACGTTTACACAGTACACTATCGAAGAGGCGATTGGCCTGCTTATGAAGAAGCTTGTATACAGTGCTGGAGTGATCTGTTCCTTCAATTTGATAGGAGGAATTACAAACATGCCTCTTAATGTTTTTCTCTGATGTTTTTTATTGGATGGAGACTAATCATCCAATCTTTGATATGATTACTAATAATCTTGCTTCTCTAAGCGATTGTTCTGTCAAACTTATTCACAGCATTATATGATAATGTACTGCTAAATTTTCCACAGCTCAATAACTGCAGAAAGAAGCACATTTCATCTTTCAGCAGCAGGACGAAAATGAATTTAGGCAATATTTTGTAAATGCCGTTAAATATCCATATACACCAAAGCAATTAAATAATCTTTCCTGGAAGTGTGCTATACAACTCTTAAATATCTTTACGAAAATTTACCAAGTGCGTCATATACATCCTTCAGTTATTAAATCATCATCTAATGGTATTAATACATATAAATTGCCTTCTTTAGGTTATAATATGATCGATTGTTACCTTCCGTAGGGTTTCGTTACTTCTAGGAAACCAAATACCACCATTCTTTGTGATTATTTGTATTGTAAATATAATGGCTATTTGATTGATGGTATCGTTCTCGCATGTGGGCATGGTTACCATAACCATTGTCTACAAAGATGCCAATTTAAATGTTTGATATGTTTAGGGTATCTTCAAGACAAGGTCAAGAAAAATGTCGATGCTCTAATAACCAGTTTTACAAAGAAATCGGGTGAACAAGAATCTGTTGAAGAAGATACTGGAAAAGATGCAATCGAAGGAGATTTGAATGATGTAAATGTGGTGAAGGATGATATAAAAGTAGAAAATTTGTTAGAACACGCAAAAGAATTATTTATAAATTTGTAAAATTTTTATATATTTATACATTTTTTAAATCACATTTTAGTATTTTATTATTACATTATTATGATCACAATTCAAATAGTTAATTAAATAAATATCTTAAAAGATTTAATTTCTTGATTAATTAAAATTTCTAATATTATGACTTTCTAAATCACGTGATTTCATTACAAAAATTGCAATTTTGATTGGTTGACCGATGCATCTCTCCTTACCAGATTTGGAAATTTTGTGTAACCGAAGACTGTCCCTCCTGGAATGTAGAACTAACTGGTGATACTCTCATATGTAGAAATGTTAAAATTACTAAATTTAGAAATTATAGTGGGTTTAAGTTTATGCTATAGCAGATAGTATTATTGGATTCAAATTTATACGGAATTCGAGCAAAGAAAAAGTAAATTGATTTACATAATGACGCATATATTTGCTTCAAGATATAATCACACGATTTGATGAAAAATCAATCCACTTTGTTTATACCGCAATAAGGGAACACGTTTATGTTTAGCAAATGCCACCCAACTATTATTTTTTATTGATATGCAAACAATGTTACATAGTAGCTAATTTTTGATACAAGTCTATTACACGCCTCCCTTAACTCATATAATATGTAGTCAGATTTAGCTTGGTGGTATTCGCAATATATAAGAACTGATTGGGTCAATAACCTCAAGTTTACGGGCCTTTGCTATTTTAAGATCTTGAATAACTCTCAATGACTTGATCAATTCATCTCTAAGAAGAAACATGGCTCTGAGTAGTTCGTACAAATAACATAAATCAGATATTCTTGTCGGTAAATGGAACTGAGACAACGTTCTTATACAATAGATCCCACGACCAACTATATTAGTTCAGAGATGATACAATTGTAGCCTATAAAAAGTATAAATCATAGTAAATTTCAAATCATGTTGTTGAAACAAAATTGCATAACGGAAGTAAAATTTTACCTTCTGTTTGTAGCCCAAATACTTTAAGTTTTTTAGCCAATTCGAACTCACACACACTATAGTCATAAAATAGATTATTAAGTACGTCTACCAAACAACGATCTAGTTTACACTAGTCCCCTTCCGGATGCCTAGTCGGAAGTCGGGTTGGTGCTCCGGATAATTCAATTATCATAAGTTCTTTATCGTCGGCATCTACAAGTGAACCAATACCATCTGCCTTTGATCCAATTCGTTTTCTTTTGCCCTTCGCAAGTTGATAGTTTCGACGATTAGCCGATGATAAACTCGTGATTTCACCCCTACAGTACGATATTTGTTGTCATGTAACAAACAGCCAATCATACAAAAGATCCGTCAAAAAAGGGTGCTTACTTACCAAGTCATATCCATTAAGTCTTTGAAAATGAAAATGAACGGTTTTATAATTGGTTCAATAAACCTTACACGAAATGTAGCCTCGGTTTGAGGTCGTTTAGCAAAGTATTCCGGCCGGTTTTCAAGACAAAAAATACTGTTATATTGATATTATATAGTCAATGATAAGTTCGGTTCTTAGTAATCTCATACCAACAGTACTTACTAATGATCGATGATTCTACGAGCATATTTATCTTCATCAGTAGTTACTTCTTCATAGGAATCAAATGATTCCCGTATTTTTTTAATCTCAGGAATTTTCAAATAATTTTCAAGTTGTCGTTCTACTGAAGGAGGTAGGTCCACTGATGGCTTTGATATAGAAGTAATTGCGGACCATTCCTTATCGGAACAGAATGAAGGTCTGCGTTGCTCCGGTACATTGTCCAGGTCAATTATATGAGCGTAATATTCTCTGCCCAACGGAAGAATGGAATAAATATGAAATGAAGTCGACTGGAGAATTACAAAAAACCACCAATACTCACTCTTCAAGATCACTTTCATCACTTTCGGAGTTCGCATCATCCTCCTTTTGAGAAGGATCTACTTCATCTTCGGACTCATAATCATAATCTTCTTCGGACTCATCATCTTCGGACTTATGAATTGAATCATTATTTCTGTTTTGGACCTGGCGCAATATAGAGTATATTTAAGTGAAGGTCTTCTCGAAAAGGCGACATGCATATGATTAATCCACTCCGACAATACAGTATAGATTATTGATCAAAGAAATGTTACCAGCTCAGTAAATCCTTCAAAGTGCATGAAAAATAAATCTTTGCCGATATTCTCTCTCTTCCGCTGGTCATCAACATTTTGCCAAAAATTGACAACAGCTTGGGATTGAAATTCTTTCTATTGAGTGAAAAGACGTAAGTCAAAGGCAATCAAAAGAAATATCACAAAGTTGAGCAAGGGATTCGATCGGCTGTGGTATCAAAGCAGTGGATGATCCAACAGAGGATAGAATCCCAGAAATGTAAGTATTATACCACGAGGCGAAAGCAGTAGATCGCTGTGGCTCACACATTTCCGCTGGTATGCTTTCTGAAAGCAGTGGATCTTTCCCTGAATTCAAAGCAGTGGATGAACGCAGAGGAAGCACACCAGCTTCTGCTCGATCTTATACAAAGAATTCAAAAAAAAAAAAAAAAACATCACCTTAAAATTTTTGACTGCTTCATCTGCAAGCTTCCGAATCCGAACAGATTCGTGTTTTTTTGAAATTAGTGATATGCTTTCTAACCAATCTCTATGCGTTATTTTTTTGTCAAGGGTCTTGCGTTTATTTTTTAGGTTACATAAGTATTCAAGAAGATGATTTGTCACGTTAGGTTTTTCTAATGTTTTTATTAAATGTTTCCAGGGGTCTTTCGACGACGCTTTTTTGCGCTTAGGCATTGTACAAAAAAAATTTCATAACGATATTAACAGTAACGATATCTGATTATTTATTACTGTATTATTTTCACATCACTTTCGGTTGCACGGCACGTGTGCTACATCACTGATGTATCAGGTATCGATACTGTATTTCACTTGCGCTTTTTATTGCTTGCTATTAGCAACTGATGTAAAAAAAAAAAATATAATATTTCCGATTCACAATTATCACTATGATTCATTTTCACAACATTCCATTCCGCCTTGTATTTAGGAAATTTGTTGCTTAGAGCGTTATAATAAAGTATGTCGATTTTTTTTATCGCCAGTACGATACTGCGCCAAATTTTGTTGATGCTGAAAATCAGATGATAGGAAAGCCACAGCAATTTTACTGCGCTGATGAGACACGTTGATTCGATTAGATTAGATAATATTTTCGTGATACTGCTATTTATTTCACTGCGCCTGTTATACGCATGATGATAGTCAAAGATTTTCTCGGCGAAGATCAAAATGCCGATATATATAACAAGAGTAATACATCCGGTTTATTTTGGAACATCTATAGAGGTGGGAAAATCGATTAACATCATGATGGCATGTTTCAAGAAGTTAGCCGAGCAATAAACAACTTACTTTATTATTACTTTGCGGAAAATACGAGTTCGTTTGATTGTTAATATCAATGATTTTAATAATGGTAAGCTCGATTGGTTTGAATTTTTGTTTTACTTGCACAAGGCGGATAAAAGGATTCATTAACAGGGACATCACCTTTTTATATAATTTCCAGGATCGATTTTGGAATACGCTTTTGGAGGAAATTACGTTAATATGATCGCATCACGAAAATCTGATCAACAGCTTCTCCTTTAATTTAACAATAAAAAACTTTGATGCTACCCACATGTAAAGATCATCAAGGGCCCCTTTTCAATAATAATATACGTAAGAATTTTGAGAATATGCGAGAAAGTAATAAATTATTATGCAACTTGTTCCCGTGATACATGAATGATACTGCGCATTTATCGGGTTCTTGGATCAATGATTTTGTTACAATAAACTTGATCGAAAAAATTATTAGCATACATGCTTCCCACAACCCCATAACTAGTAAATTTGGTCTTTGCTTTATTGATTGCACGAGAAAAAAAGTACATAATACAGGCTACATGATGACACTACTTAAACTAAAATGATAAAAAATTTTCATGTGAACGACTGCTAGCCTTCCGTGATACTAATACGTTTTTCGAAATCCTAAATGAAAAAAATGTCTATTAGCTTGTTGCTTCCTTGCAAATTCATAACACAACCGAAAGTAAATCCATCTTAACTGGATAAATATCTTGTCCGGAAGTAATATTTTTTTTTTCGCCGGCTTATTAGTTATTCAAATCTTTCGTCGATATCGTACTGCGCTGGGTGATCGTCTCTCACATGACTGGTCTAAGCCACAATCGCGAACTTGAGTTTATTGCTTGAAGTGTTGCAGGTAAGACAATATTCTAACTTATCTTGGGATAGCAACTTCGCTAATTCAGGATCATAAGGGAACTGACTCCCATTTTCGCAGTACCATGAGCCATGTAATCCATAATTCCAATGTTTTCCATCACAAATAGGGCATGGTGAACTCCACGGCTGAGGTGATGTAAAATCATAATTATCAATCCCTCTAAAACCATTTCCGAATTTCAAGTATGAGAAGTGCTCTAAGACGGATTTGATAATTAATTCTGGATTGAGTCTGACTTCAAAAGTTATAGGCCCTTTTTCTTCACATTGCTCAGAAGAAAATAAATAGGATACTTTGTTTTCTGGCTTCAAATTTATGAGAAGGTGATCTTCTGATAATTGCCATGGCTCATGCCCAGTTTCTTTTATATATTTTTTGTATAAGCTGGACTGAATCCTATCTGTCAAAACACTTGGTAACCCAATTAATTTGGCATACCAATCCAGATATTTGAGAGTTAATATTTTATCGGACTTGGTCATGTTTCTTTTTATACAATTGCAAATCAATTTAAATTAGGTAATAGTTGACATAAATTAGCTCTAAAAAAATATCACAATGGAGTGTGAGCAAATATAGGGTTATATAATACGCTTTTGGCCAAAGTGATTAGACCATGCAGTTATCTCAATTTCATGCTGTTCACATATAATAAAATAAGATCCAGCTTTATATTTACCTTCTAAACTTTCCTCCTCATCATACTTTAACTCACATAATAGGCATATTTTCTCATTGGTAATTCTATAATAATCAAAATTTCACTACTAAATTCTCTATATAAATCGGGATATTGATCTAATGTCTTATTGTGAAAATAAGTGCAGTCATAAGCTAGCTTAAATTGGGATGCAGATAATACATTTGCCGATGTACTTACTCCAAGAGATTCGCTTGTATCTCAGTCTTATTAGTTTTCAAAGTCATATGTCTGTTCCAATTTGAAACAGAGTCTTCATAATCTACATCATTTGTATTAGTAGTTTTTTTGGGGAAATCATTTATAATATCCTGGATCTGATTATCATATAAATTCGAGATACAGTCAACTCTTTTTACAACGAATTTTAATATAACGAATTTTACAATACAATAGATTTTCAGTGTCAGACAGATTTTTAAATATAAAAAACCCTTACTATATCAAATTTAGTAATTAAAAATCCATACTATATTTAACAAATTAAAGTCAAAAATATTTATATATAAAATGACTCTTTTTATAACGAATTTTCTCTATAATGAATTTTTTAATGAATAAATATTCGTATTACACATTATGTCTTGTAAATTTATTACTATAATAGAATAGTAATTTGAGAGGTTACGTAATAATGTTTACAGTTTTTTTTTTACTTTTTATGGAATAAAATGATATTATAATCACAAGAAATTTTGATATATTAACTAAATAACACCTTTGTGATTGTGTTAAAATTTTGTTGAAATTTTGTTGAAATTGTGTCAAGAAATCACATTGTTTTTATTAATTTTTAACCAATTTTTGTTGAACTTATGTTGAAATTGCTTTTGATTTTTTTACTAAATTGTGACGAATAATTTTATAATGATTTTTTATTTATCACTGATATGATGATTTATTATTGTTGATCTACTCTAATTATCTGATGTATTATATTTATTAATTTGCGTAAGTTATTTTTGAATTGATTTAATTTTTATAAATAATACGATGAATTATTATTTTGACTTTTTGTTTTTATATAAATCAGAATTTTCGATCACAAAGAGTTCTTTTTGTATTATTTTAATCATAAGTTTTGCTTGTTATATTTGAATTGATCTAATTTTTATAAATAATATGATGCACAATTATAATACAATGCTTATATTATTATTTTGACTTTTTGTTTTAATACAAATCAGAATTTTAATCAAGATTGTATTATTTCAATCATGAGTAAAGAATTTCACAAGATATCAAATCAATGGATAAATTTATTTATAAAAGGAAGTATTTTTTACCATTGTATAGTTTTTTACCTTTTAAAATTTAAATCAATCTTTAAATCACTTTAATTTACTCTATTAAATCATATTTTTTTACAAACACAAAAATGATTACAAGAATCATTTGGAAGGATAATGAAATTGACTTATTAATTGAGAAAAAAAGGAGGAGAAACGAAAAGTACTATATAAGGTACAGAGGTAATAAGACAGGATTCTAAAGAAGTGTAGCTCGATAAATCAATCAAAGATTTAATATGACATATTCAACTCGTCAATGCGAGTTGAAATGGAAGAATTTAGTATAGAATTATAATGTAAGTAAATAAATGAATAATAATATAATGAAAAATATAACTTAACAGTATAATTAATATTTTTTAAGATTTTTGTGATTATCAAAATAAAGCAAAAAGAGGTGAGAGGTAGACCTATACTATGGAAAGATTATACGACCTCTTCAGGACTCGATTTTATAATAGATCAGGTAATAATTAAAAACGTTTAAATAATTTTTTAGATTTATATTAAATATATTTACTTTTTTAGAATCTAGGCATACTCATAGGGGAAATTGTAATTTGCCTATTACAAGGTAAATATGAAATACAAGGCAAAACTGTAACGAGTCTGCGAGGTAAAACCAAAATAGACGGCAAAATCACGACATGTCTGCAAAGCCTATAAGGCAATAAAAATTTCAGTTTTTTTTCTTATTGTTCGTTTAATTTCATTTTTTTTCGTATCGTTTATTTTTTCTTTTCATATTGTACGTTTAATTTTATTTTTTCTTTTTCATTTTTTCATTTTGTTTCATTTTTCTAATTTTGTTTTATAGTTTCTTTTTATTTTTTCATTTTGTTTTATTTTCCTAATTTCGTTTTATAGTTTCTTTTCATTTGTTTAATTTCATTTTTTTATCTTGTTTCATTCACTTAATTTCGTTTTATAGTTTCATTTCAGTTTCTTAATTTTATTTTTTCATCTTATTTAGTTTTCTTTTCGTTTCGTTTTTATTTTTTCTTTTATTTTATTTTATTTTTATTTTATTTTAAAAATAAATTTTTTTTTAAAAAAAATTTAAGTAAATTAATAAAACTGTTATACAATGATTAACAGATTGTATATTAAAATAAAATGACTAAAATTTACAAAATAACATAAAATGTTTCTGGAAAAATTATATCATAGTAAAATTATATTTGTGTAATAAATCAGTAATCATCTACTATAACAAATAATTTATTAATGCTATAACGAATTATTCATTATACATACTGAATAATTCATTATAATGTTAACGAAAATTCTTATAATGAAATTTTGATCAGCTGGATTAGTAACTTTATTATATCAAGACGTGACTATAAATAGGTATTAGACTTCTTGTCTTCAGCATGATTAAATTTAACAGAGAAAAATTCTCATCTCTGAAAGATAATCTTAAAAAAAAATAATAAAGTAGTAGATCTTTCTAATCTTCCACTTCTTCCTATGAATAATTTATTATAAAAACTATTAA